GAGAGAAGAGAGAGAGAGAGAGAGAGAGAGTTCCAATTGAAAAAGGAGAAAAAAAGGAAATGCATTAGCGATTGAACATATAAAATAGCAATTTAAATTTCTTTTCAAGTTTTTTTTTTTTTTTTGATAACCAAAAAATTATAAGCTAAACTATAGCATATTTTTTTGGCGGGAAATAATCCTAAATATTACAATGATACGTAATTAATTACTTTTTATATCATGTAGAAGTAGATTTAAAAATGGTTTAAAGTCATTTGGGCTATTAAGTTTTACATTTACGGACCAATGTTGTATATTTGTGTAGGCTTTTGGTAGTTTGGGCTACGAACCCACCCAAATAAAACTTGTTGGCCGACATAATTTTGTTTTTATTAAAAAGAAAAAGTGAATGAGAATACACGTGAAGAAAATGAGAACGACCCTTTAATTAGTACTACTGAAAATTGCAAAAGATAAATATAGAAATGCTAAGTAAGTTTTTGTTTGCCAAAAATGCTAACAAGTAACAATGTATACAAACCACAATTTCATGGCCGACCTGTTTTTTTATTTTTCTTTCCTCGAAACCGCAAGTATGATTACACGTGGCCAAAAAAGAACGTACAGAAACTCTTCTTCTTATTATTATTCCGTAGTTAGAGATAATAGAGTATCGCACACAAAATATCTTTACTCAAAAATACGTGTAAACTGGTCTTAAGCGATCTATATAAAACGATTGATGCTAGTGGAGATTATATTATTCTCATCTCACATTGTTCCTCTTCAATCTCCTCCTTTCATATCTTTTGCACCCAAAAAAACTTAAAGATCTCTCATGGCGATGTCTTTCTCAGGAGCTGTTCTCACTGGCATGGGTTCTTCTTTCCACAGTGGAGCCAAGCAGAGCAGCATTGGCGCCGTCGGAGTTAGCCGAAAGACTCAGTTCCTCGTCGTCGCTCAGCGCAAGAAGTCGTTGGTCTACGCCGCTAAAGGTGACGGCAACATCCTCGATGACCTCAACGAGGCCACGTAAGTCCATCCACATATTCTTGCCTCGTAATTAAATATTTTACTAGGGAATGTTTTATATATGTTTAGCTTTTAGTATTGCCCTAATTTTATTGCAAATTTGAGTGTTTTGAGCTAAGTTTATGCTTTCAGATTAAATATATACCATAAACTTATATATGTTTACGTTGCATATAGCCCCTAAGTTTATCCAGACAGATTATGTTGACTATTTTTGGATATGTGTGATTAATTAATTGTTTAATCGTAATGCAAATGCAGAAAGAAAGCTTCGGATTTCGTGACGGATAAGACAAAGGAGGCGTTGGCAGATGGAGAGAAAGCAAAAGACTACGTTGTAGAGAAAACGAGCGAAAACAACGATACATTGGCTAAAGAAGCTGAGAAAGCTGCCGCATATGTGGAGGAGAAAGGAAAAGAAGCCGCAAACAGTGCCGCTGATTTCGCTGAGGGTAAAGCAGGAGAGGCTAAGGATGCCACCAAGTAGAGTCTTAGTCAATTAGTCCAACCAACCTAAAACTCGTAGATATATTTATATATATGGATCTATCTTCTCTGTCTCTCTTTATGTTTAATGTATTACAAAAAGATCAGTCTGTTGTAATGATTTCTATTAAATTCACATCAACCCTCGCAATAAGACGACATGGCTCGCAGTTAAAAAAATTAATACTCTTTTAACAAGCTTGTGCTAGGATTAGCATATATATGTAAGCTCGATCGTTAGGCTTGTCTCTTTTGTGACGAAAATTATAGGATGGCACAAAGCAAAGAAAAACAAAGAAAATTTATTATCACCACATCTCCCCGTCACACACATCATTAAGTAGTCTATCCATAATTAGATTGTCTCTGTCCGATAATATGACTCTCTCCCAAATGTGAAGGTTCTATTACTATTAGTAGTTGAACTTAAATCACACCCCAAAGTAGCGAAGTATGTCATTGGCATTGCCACAACAGCACACTGTTCAATATTCATATACCTAATTAACCAATGTGAGAAATATCTTATAGGCTCCTTTGTTGCTAGTTTCAACTTTCAAGCAAGAGAGGAATCTTCAGTTATACACATGCTCATTTTCACAGAATTTTTGTGTCCTTTCTAGCTTATTGTAAATAACGCCTAGTGCTGTTGAGCAATATATGTTTTAAAGTAACATTGTTATTTATAAGTAAAAACTAACCCTTAAAGGCACTGAAGACTTAGGTTTTCAGAATATATATGCTATTAGCTAACTAAAAGAGATTGACCAAAATAATGTTAAATATAGTTGTTCTTAACCCAATTGCTAATCACTAGTACACATTTTCAGCTTAACGACTAATACAACTATCCTTTATGTATACCTCAATGATCAGTCTACTAATCGTTAGTGTTGAAAGTTGCAAATCAAATAAAAATGCTAACATGTAAAGTTTGGTTGCCAAAAATGCTAACATGTATATAACGGTTATAACCACAACTTGATGGCCGACCTCTTTTTTGTTGTTGGTAAGTTAGTAACCATAGAAATGATTACACGTAGCTAAAAATACGAACGAACAAAAACTCTTCATAAGTTAACGATACTAGTAATGCGCAAAAATATCTTGAACTGACACGTGTACATAATTTTGGATTCTCATTGGCTGAGAGGTCTATAAAACGATACTATTGGGAGATTAGATCTCACTTTCTCCATATATACAAACTCAGTTCCTTTTCTATTTTGTTTATTTCCTTCTAAGAAACATATCTCTCATGGCGATGTCATTCTCAGGGGCTGTTCTCAGTGGCATGGGTTCTTCTTTCCACAGCGGAGTAACCAAGCAGAGTAGCGTTGGCGCCGTCGGAGTTGGCCGGAAGAGTGAACTCGTCGTCGTTGCTCAGCGCAAGAAGTCGTTGATATACGCCGTCAAAGGTGACGGCAACATCCTTGATGACCTTAACGAAGCCACGTGAGTCTATGTTATATATATCTTTTAACAATCTTCCTCGTGACTAGTTTAAGTCTATCTATATATTTTTACTCAAAAATCTCTAATGTATATTACGTACGTAGTACTCCACATGAATTTTTTTTTGGTTAATTCCACCATATTAGTTTGATAAAGACCCACTGTCATATACTTAATGGTTGAGGATTGATTTTATCCACTGAACCGGTTATGATGGATATATATATGCCTGCCATTTGAAAAAAAAAAAATACAAATATACGGATATACGATCTACTTTAAGAAAAAAAGATGTTTACTTTAATAAGTATATGATAAAAGTAAATATTTGTTTTTGGAAATATATTATATATAAAAGATATTTTCGAGTACTCTTTAAACCAAACGACTCAAATTCATGACCAAATGTTTTTAAACCGTTTACTCAATAATATGAAAAAACGTGCAGAAAGAAAGCTTCGGATTTCATGACGGAGAAGACAAAGGAAGCTTTGGTGGATGGTGAGAAAGCAAAAGACTACGTTGTTGAGAAAACCATCGAAGCCAATGATACGGCGACAGAGGAAGCAAAGAAAGCTTTTGATTATGTGACGGAGAAAGGCAAAGAAGCCGGAAACAAGGCGGCTGAGTTCGTAGAGGGTAAAGCTGGAGAGGCTAAGGATGCCACCAAGTAGCTAGGCATTTAACCACTCTCTTGTTATATTATTGATAACATCACTTTGTTTTTATTTTTGTTCTTCGCCATTAATCGAATTGAGGATCTGTTAATTACTCAACATAGCTCATTAAGTTCTTATCATATCGGACCCTTCAAAAAGAAACTACATATAGTGACTACACGTAACATAGTTTATTAGTATTTCAAGTATCATAAGTCCTAATGCAGTGACGTAATTCTTTAGTTTAGGAAATAACATTCTTTTTAATCAATTTTACTCTCTTAATTAACATTTAATTAACTATTTTGTAGCTCTAAATTATACAATCACGGGAGACCTAATTAAAAAAAAAAACTAATAATTATCTAATCATATAGTTCTTACAAGATAAAATTACTTATTATACGCTTTGTTTTAGTCCTTGATAATTCTAGACTCCTTGCCTTGAGATCAGTAAACATGAAAGAGATCAGCCTTTAGGCAAGTGATTACGAAAAAAGAGATGTTAAGAATGTACATGAGAAGAATGTTTCAATAAGACGCCTTGAAATCCATCTAAAACAGCAACAATTGTTATATAATATATATATATCCATCTTTGAGTAAAAAAATCTCATAGGTGTAAGGGGCAAAATACATACTCTCTTTGTGAATGCAGAAGAAAAACAAATAGTCAAAAGTTATAACCAGAACAAAAAATAAAAACATTGGCAGCTTAGTCCCAAGCACTTGGAGTTTCTCCACCATACCCACCACTTGGAGCACCGCCATATCCCCCACCATAGCCTCCTCCCCCACCATAGCTTCCTCCTCCACCATAGCCTCCTCCTCCACCATAGCCTCCTCCACCACCTCCTCTGCTGTAAGACCCTTCCCTTCTAAAGTCACGACCACCAAACCGACCACCAGACCGCCGATTCTTACCACCACCAAAAGAGGAGCGTGATGCATACCGTGTGAGCCACTCAGGGACTTCCTGGTTAGCTTCTTGCATCAGCTCAGCGAGTGGTCTGGCCAGCGAGGTGTTGCCATCGTTGAAGAAGGCAGTTGCTAATCCTGATTTGCCAGCACGTCCTGTTCGTCCAATACGGTGCACATAGTCATCAATGTCATTTGGTAGATCGAAGTTGACCACATGAGCCACGTGGGGAATGTCAAGCCCACGTGCTGCTACATCTGTTGCAACCAAAATCGGTGTTCTCCCACTCTTGAAGGCCTTCAGTGCCACTTCTCTTTCCTTCAATGCATTTATAGCAACACAGTAACTTAGTCACATAGTTCCTAACACTTATAGATAATGATGGCCAAAGAGTTAATTTCAACAGTTTCCTTCAGATTTTGACTTTTGTTATAGGTTTAGTTACAATGAACTTAGCTATATTCCAACCTGAGATGTACTCTTTGGTCTCACTATTGAATTGGTATGATTGGACTTTGATATCCACATTAACACACAAGATTTTTCAGCTTTAAATTGATAACACACCTGCTGTGATCTGTCACCATGAATGGAGGTTGCTGGAAAGCCATTGATGCACAACCAATTTTCCAAAGAGTCAGCTCCCCTCTTTGTCTCCACAAATACTAAGGTCAGGGCTTGCTACAATTATGGACAGAACACAATTATCAAGAAGTATGAAGGATCATGTCAAGTATTGAGATACGACCAGCTACTTTGGTAATAAATAATGAACCAAACAAAATATGATTCCTTCCAAACAAAAGAGGAGTATCAGCTTTACCTTGCCTTGGATGCCATTCTCTCTCTGTGCGTGAAGCAGGTCCATCAGATGACTTCTCTTGTCAGAGTCAAGGACAAACTCAACCCTTTGGACAATTAAATCGGTACTTGAACCGACTCTACCCACAGCCAAAAATATATAATTTGCTAGGAAGTCAGCTGCAAGTCTCTGCACAAGAAAAAAATATGCAATCTTTTAAAATTTGTACATAATTGTGCAAAATCGAGCAACATTCTTGTACCAAATATTATGCAGCTTTAATCACACAGGAAACAGACGCGTGAAAATAGAGGTTCACCATCATCCATTAATGAAGTGGTATTGTAATCCTCTGACACATAGAACTATCAGTACCATGTCTGTTAAAATGGCAATGGTCATCGTTTCATAAAACCCAAGTACATGCTAGCTAGCATCATAACAGGACTAGAATTCATGTTAAATTATTATATTTCAACCAACGAAGGTGAACAGAAAAAAGAGATTACAGAAACAAGTAAACCAACCTGAATCTCTCCTGGAAAAGTAGCACTAAACAACAATGTCTGTCTAATTCCACGTGGAGGCATGTCCATTTGTTCAACAATCTTTCTTATTTGTGGTTCAAAACCCATGTCCAGCATCCTGTCAGCCTCATCAAGAGCTAAATATCTAATCATCTGCATCGAGACTCTAGCTCTCTCAAGCAAATCATTTAGTCGACCAGGAGTTGCCACAAGAATATCGACTCCCCTCTCAAGTTCCCGTAGCTGCATAAACAACAAGACACAAGATTATTAACATGCTGAAGTTTGAAGACAGAATAAGTAACACATACAGCTACGAAATCTAGCAATTCTTCTGCATGTAATACATTGGTAATCCCTTCTTAATAGAAAAATGCTGACTACAAAATGTTTAACTAAGTTGAGTAGCCTTAGAAAGGAACATGCTTGCAAAACCCAAAACAAACAGCCTAAGAGACAATACAAAACAAACAGCAGTCAAAGACTCATGACGCAAAACTCAGAAGTCAGGAGCTGAAAGATAAACTAATTACATCTAAAAAATCTACTTGCATATTAAACTACCTGCTGGTTAATAGGTGTTCCTCCATATGCAACAACAACCTTCACACCAGTTTGGTAGGAGAACTTTTTAGCCTCATCATGTATCTGCCAAAATATCACAGAATAAGATATGAGAAACTAACTTCAAGCAAGTAGCAAAGGGAATAGAATCTTGACGTCGGAAGAGAACCCCAACCTGACTTGCCAACTCCCTTGTTGGTGAGAGAATGACTGCAAGAGGGTAGACTGTCCGTGAACCACGGGGTCTCTGTACATGCTGATCTTTCATAATTCCACTAATTATTGGAAAGCAAAAAGCAGCTGTCTTCCCAGACCCTGTCTGAGCACAGGCCATCAAATCCCTCCCTTCAAGCAAGATGGGGATCGCATGACGCTGTACAGGTGTTGGCTTTACATATTTGCATCTACGGATGTTTAGATTCAATGCCTCCCCAAGATCGATCTCTGCGAATGTGTTAACAGGAGGAGGCACATTATCCCCACTGGTCTCAATCGGAATATCTTCATAGGCATCAAAATTAATGACCGTATTATCCTGCTCAGCAAAGGCTGGCTCAGGTTCGGAATCATCATTATCAAAGGGGTTAACTTCACGTTCCCTACGGTCCCAACCTCCGCTTCGGTTGTTCCAAGCACCACCACCTCCTCGGCCACCGTAGCCATAGGCAGGACGACCTGCATCAGCCCTGTAACCAGCAGCAGCAGCACCACTAGCACTAGGAGCCCATCGAGAGCCAGAAGGAGGACCACCAAAACCTAGACGATCATTAGCTGGCAAAGGAGCAACAGGGTCAGAAGTTGGTTGCCTGTTCCTTAGATGTGGAGGAACATAAGCAGGTCGTGAGGGATGAGAATTCTGATTAGATGACCCAGAACCAGCGTTCTCTGAGTCAGCCACATCAGCCCATGATGCACTCATAATCGGAAAACGTAAAACGCCCTAAAACCAAAACTAGCTTGCAAATCCCCAGAGCAAACAAATCCTTGTTGGGTGTCAAAATCAATAAAATCAAATCCTCAGAAGCTGCTCCCTTTTTTTACTCTTCAATAAAACACAAAATCCTGAAAAACAAAAAGTAATCAATGGTGGCAGCAGCAGCAGCATCAGCTTAGGAACAGCTTTAAAAAAAATGAAAGCACCTTAAGAGAGAAAACCTCAAAAAAATAAATTCAAAAGCGAATCCACCGAATAACAAATACAAGACGAATTGAATAGTCTAGTCTTGGGAGAAGAGCATATATTCAAACGGGGAAAAGAAAACGAATATAGCAAACACTAATGCCAACAGAATCACGCAAAGAGGAGAACAATGTTCAAAAGAGCTTGCAGATGCAGATAACCCTAGCTTACAAGCTCGAATTCAAACCCAGAGATAGAAGAATCGAAGAAATCAACGGTAAACCCTAGGATACCTTTGGATTACCTTTTGGGATCGGACAGAGCCTGCCTTATGCGCTCAGAGCGATAGAATCAATACAAGAGAAAAGAGAGGTGGAGAGATATTTTTATATTTTTATTTGACTTTTGTTCTTCTTTCGCCCTCTTATCAAACCAAATATTTTAGCTTACAGATTGCGTCCCGTTTTCATCAATCTTCGTCCGAGATTTTGTACTCAGTTTCCAACTTGCGTGTCGGTTTCGTTGTATCCTTCTGAATTGTATGTCGGCGTCTTTTTTTGGTCGTTTTTTTTCTTTATATATTACCGGCATTTTTTAAACTAGATTATGACAACCACCAAATTCAAATCAAATGGTATAAGACTTCAAAGAGACATAATTTCTCTTTAATGCAAATCTTATACGATGAAAATATTTTGGAATATTAAAAAGCGTGTGAAGAAGCTTTGCTCTCGATTACTGACACCAAAGTAATATGTTTCTAATTTTCTTCAACAGTGACATATTTCAAAGCAAAGAGCATTTACGTGTCAACTCACTTCTTCTCTCATTCCATTTGCCCAAAGTATCTGCCTGCTATGGTGATGAGCATATTAGCCATGGTGACAACTTGTTCGTTTTCAACCTCTAACGCACGAAGACTCGCACACTTCCTCAGAAGAGCTCTGAGACAAGCACACGTATCAGCATCCAAAGGAGTGTCCACTGATGCACATAATGCTACTACCCATTTACAGTCACTACTCTTCAATCCGCTCTCTTTCTCAACCAAGCATATCTGCTTTCTCAGCTTTGATACCCGTGTCACTGAGTCCATTCCCTCTATCTCTGTAACCACCCCACCAACTGACTCATCACTGTCTCTGTGGAGACGCTTATTGAATATCTCCATGAGCACCTCATCTACAGCCTGACTCGCCATTACCTCATTCCCGCACATGTTGTCACTTTCCAATAAAGCCTGTTAAAATTCCATTACAGTTACATTCATATCTTAAGATAGTATACATTGTACAAGTTAGAAGAAAATTTTACCAGGCGAAGGTGTGAGAAGTCGGAAAGCAATGAGTCCTCCCATTCCTTCAGCGGCACCAGGTGCTCTGGGCATTTGAGGATTTCAGGGATTTGTGGCATGTAAGCACTCTGCTCTTTCTTTATGTACTTGCTTCCATTTATCTTGGCTACTTTTACGTTTGGAATTTGCTTAGCCTCCCACCTGAAATGCGGAAACAACTTAACCATATATGCCAAAATGCAGATACACAGAAAGATTGAAACAGAGTGACAAATGTACCTGACTCGTCTTAAATATTCAAGCCCATCTTCTGGTGGTCCAGAATCAAAATCAGGTTCTCCATCGACCGCAAACGCAGGCCTCAAAATGCTATTGTAATCTTCATTATCTTCAGTGTCCTCCTCTTTCACAACAGAATCTTCTTCCATTCCTTCTTTGCTGCCTAAATTTTCTCATGAAGAAAAAAGGTCAAATTTATTTTCTCATTGTGATTGGGTCAGTAACTAAACCGACACTGCTATGAAACAGAAAAAAACTAAGGGCACTGAAAAGATTTAGCTTTGGAAGGATTTGATTTTATTGAAGTTGTATGAGCATGTACAATTTTGCCTAAAAAATCATGGCCATATACACTTTGGACCAAAGAACCTCTTTACATCCCTTTTACAATCTGACCCAAAGAATCTATATACAAAATGAATGTATTGTGTCTTAGAAAAGGGAAAATTGGTGAGCAAAGGGACTTTGACAGAATTATGAAACAAAGGGCTTTGACAGATTTATGAAACAAAGGGCTTTGACAGATTTCTTCAGCTTAATGTACAAAGATATTCACACGGGTTCGTCTTGGTACAGCAGATACGGGACCTGTGGAAAAGAAACAAAAGGCCCCTATCAAAACGACATATTACTGGAAGTGGGAGAGAAGAAGAACAGATCTGGAAAAAGGTAAGAGCTCTAGACTAGAAATAACAGACATCCAAATCGAAGGAAAGGCTAGAGAGTATTTAAACATGACCCGACTGGATTTCTCCTTGATGACCATTTGAGAAAGAAAACCGTAGCAAAGAAAAACTATTTGAGTATGGGCGGCGAAAGACACAACACACACAAACAAACAAAAATGCATTGGATAGAGCTTAAGGTTATACATAGCTAAGTAGTCTAAACTTGGAGTAACATATTTGTCTTAGACCTAAAGTTTTTCCCAACATGTTCAACTAACAACAGACAACAACACAAAATGCAGCAGATCAGATCAAAGTAAAGTAAGTGGAGGGTTACCGAGGATACTGATGCCACTCTCCCTCGGATTAGACTTTGAATTCTTGTGATTCTTCAAACAAACTAAACCTTCGTACTCAGCCACCAGCTCAGGTAGGAGCCTAGCATACATGTCACTCCACAGTTTCTTCTGATTCGCAATGTGGGCATACCTCATCGACTCCATTTGGTTCCTAGAGTACATTATGCGCAACTTCTCCCCATTCATTCCTCCACGGTTACGAAAGTCTGAAACTTTGGTTGATGCATTCCTCTCAACATTACTAGAAGCATTCCCCTTTTCAATTGGTTTCTCGCCTGCAACTTTCTTATACTTTCTTGGTGCATCCTTATCTGTTCCTGGTCTTTTAGGATGATCTTTACCTTTCTTGTAGAAAGGAACAACATCAAACAACGCAGTATCATCAACTAAATCGATGTTCACAGATCTCCCAACAAAAGCATTATCCTTTACTCTCACTCTTTCCACCTTCTCATGCTGATCTTTAGAGCCCTTTCCATTCTTCTCGATCTTATGGACATCAGAAGCCCTAGCGAGCGTGTCCAAATCGTCCTTCTTCTTGAAAATTGTCCCACCTTCGATTTCAGCCAACAATCTTCTCTTCTCCGCCTCCAAAAGCATCTGAGCATCAGAATCTTGTCCGTTCTTGTCAGAGTTCAAACTTTCTTTCTTATCAGAGGTAGAAACGACGCACCCATCAGTCCCAACAACATCGCCTATATTTAGCAAATCATCTCCAAATTGATCGCCTACTGTAGAAATCTCAGAGACTTCCTTAATGTGAACATCAGAATCTTGTCCCTTCTTGTCAGAGTTCAAACTTTCTTTCATATCAGAGATAGAAACGACGCACCCATTAGTCTCAACAACATCGCCTATCTTGGGCACATCATTTCCAAATTGATCGCCTACTGTAGAAATCTCAGAGACTTCCTTAATATGTTGCAGTTCCTCACCAACCTTATTCTCTTCAAGAAACGTGGAACCAGTTTCAGGCACAGAGACTACTCCAGGACACTCCACATCCATCGCCTCAGTTTCTTCAAGACTTGTTTCGGAGGAAGAAACTTCAACAGGATCCGAATGGACGATTTCTCCATCTTTCTCAGAAGCGGAAGTAAAAGGCGAAACCTTTACTTGCTTCTTTGCGCTTATCATCTCTTTAACAGAGTCGTCGTTCTCAACTGGCGGCAAAGAATCGATCTTTAGCGAGTCTTCTGCAATTCCATCCCGAGAAATCGAACTTTTCTCCGACGCAATACATTCACCGGAATCAAATTTCGTCGTCATCACGGAGGGCCGGATAGAGAGATAAAAAGAGAAAGAGAGAGAGAGAGCGAGCGAGTGAGAGAAAGAGAGAGAGAGAGCTCAATGAAGCGAAGCGTAAGAAAAGGAAGAAGAACCCTATTACTCTCACAAAACGATTAAATAAGCTGAAAACCGGTTCACTTAAACCGGAACATTTCATACTAAAACCGGTGTCGGTTATTGCATAAATCAAATAAATACAGGGGTACTACGGTAAGATCATATACGAACTCGTTAGCTACAAACCACTCGCTTTTCTCCTCACGCGCCATCTCAAATGCGATCTTCTTTCACTGCACACAAAGCGAAGAGACAGAGAAGCCAGAGAGAGAGAGAGAGAGAGAAAGTGGGGAAAAAGCGAAGAATACGCAGATTCCATTCAATTTAGGGTTAGGGCTTCCCCTAATTTGGAAATCTAGTCCTGTTTCCGGATCGGACGAGACGAGAGAACGAAGTAACGAGAATGGGCGCGAATTCTATTCCCACGGATGCAACCATTGATCTTGATGAGCAGATCTCGCAGCTCATGCAGTGCAAGCCCCTCTCCGAGCAACAGGTGCCTGCAACTTTCTCCTTACACCTTACCCTTTGACGTTTTTTACTACTTTGTTGTTTATGGACTTAGGTTGTATCGATGATTGGATCTGATTTTTATAAAGTTTCGAGTCGAAGTTTCTTTTTTCTCTGTGGTTGAGGTTTCGTCGGGTACGGGATTAGCAGATTTGATTTGGAGAGTTTCGATGTCATTTGAAATGAACATCCCTCGGAAAATGTTAGATCTTGACGTTTGAGTATATTCTCACGGATGTTCATTTTCACCGCAGTTTTATGGGTTGGAGAATTGGCTTTGCTTGCTTCTATGGTTTGATGATGAATGTTAGCTGCATCGGATTCTTAAAATAGAGTGATTAACCACATCTAAGCTCGTGTTTTTATGTGCCTGGTAATGTGATATGAAGTAGATGATAAAGTCTTATCTTTTTTCATTACTAGCTTTTTCGATTAGTGGGAAAATAGCAGAAATGGTAAAGGAAAACAGTTTTTGCTGGTGTAAGAGATATTTCAACTCAGTAACGGACCAATACTTGTAGAGGTTTTTTCTGTAACTGAGTTTCCTTTTTGCTGCGTGTGTCAAGTTGATTTTTGATACCAAGTCATATTTTTTTATAGTGATTAAATTACTTAGTAAGTTAAAGTGGTGAATTTCATGTGAAGGATTTTGTTATTTTGTTTAGGTTAGAGCATTATGTGAGAAAGCCAAGGAGATCTTAATGGATGAAAGCAACGTTCAGGTGATTATATTTTCAGTTTGGTAGATTGTGCTATTAGACATGAATTCAATAACTCTTTCTGTTCCTGCATGCAGCCTGTGAAAAGCCCTGTGACAATCTGCGGTGATATTCATGGACAGTTTCATGATCTTGCGGAGCTTTTCCGTATAGGGGGAATGGTAACATTTATAAATTTTACTGAGAAACATAATAGAAGTTAGTCTATGTTTTCGTGGGCATGCATTTTGTCTCAGAATTACCCTTTTGTACAGTTTGGCTGTAGAAAAAGCTCTACAAATCTTACAATATATTCATTTTTCTCTTTATGCAGTGCCCTGATACCAATTATCTGTTTATGGGAGACTATGTGGACCGTGGTTATTATTCTGTTGAAACTGTTACGGTACGAGAATTAATATTCAGACATCCTTTTTCTGTTCTTGTTATGAATTAGCTGATTTAACGGCAACTCAGTCCTTGCCTTTTACAATGTGAAATTTTTTGGGTCTGAATAGGAAGTATGTTGATACAATTTCTCGTTTTTATTCTCTTTCCAGTTGTTAGTCGCCTTAAAGATGCGATATCCTCAGCGAATCACTATTCTTAGAGGAAATCATGAAAGTCGTCAGGTAAACTAATGCTTTATGTTTTGATTACTCTGTTTATACATGTATAACTCACCTTCTCATGCTAGATACAGTTCTCCCCGGTCTTTATCCATCGTTGAGATATTGGTTACATACATTTTTTCTTATAAATTTTGTTTTTGTCTACAACATACCTGTTGTGTGTTGGTTAATACTTTTATATCATCCTACTCTTTCATCTGACACGGGATTTTCTTCTTGTCTTCCGTCTGGCAGATTACTCAGGTTTATGGATTTTATGATGAATGTCTGCGAAAGTGAGTCTTCTGGAAAAGCCCTTATTTGTAGATGCTAGTAATTCATTTTTATCATTCGCATTACTCTTGTCTTTTTCTTTGTTGTTGGCATGTTGCTATGTTTGTGTGTGTGTGTGTGTATGTTAGTCTGCCCTGTTTCTGTCAATCCTTCAGTCTTATGATAGCTTTTTATAACACTTGTAATATATTGTAGTATCTTGTTCATTCAAGTTTATTAACCATTACTTAAAATTGCCATTGACTATATGAGATATAAATATTGTAATCTTTTTGACGAACCTTGTTTATTCTGCAGGTATGGCAACGCAAATGTTTGGAAAATCTTTACAGACCTCTTCGACTATTTTCCGCTCACAGCCTTGGTTAGTACCTATCATATCGCACACCTTTCTTCATTTTTTTGTTGGTGGGGTTCACATGAGTCTATCCTAGTCCCTAGTCATTTAATATAGATGATCTGTTCTTTGTCTTGTGCTGGTAATATTATTTGAACTAAAGTATTGGTTTTGTACTGTGCTGTCGTATTTCTTTTGCTAGTGTCACATCAATTGCAAGACGTTAGTATTCTGAAAAATGCACAGAATGGAAGATCTTTTGTATATGGAAGATTACATGTATGAGTTATCTGACCAAATAGATGGTGTTTTCGACACAAATATATGGGTCGTCATCAAATTATTATGTTATTTCATTGCAGGTTGAGTCAGAAATATTTTGTCTTCATGGTGGACTATCTCCATCTATCGAGACCCTTGACAACATAAGGAATTTTGATCGAGTTCAAGAAGTCCCCCATGAAGGGCCGATGTGTGACTTATTATGGTCTGACCCCGATGATCGATGTGGTTGGGGCATCTCTCCTCGTGGTGCCGGTTATACATTTGGTCAGGTAATTATACAAGTCTTATGGCTCAGAAACAGTCCTGATTCTCTCTCTTTTTAAAAGCAAGTGTCTAATTATTTTTTATCTTTTTCATTTGTTTCCCTAGGATATATCCGAACAATTTAATCACACAAACAACTTAAAGCTGATCGCCCGAGCTCACCAGTTGGTTATGGATGGATACAACTGGGCTCACGTAATAATGCAACTATAAACCATTCTTTGCACAGCTTTTTCAAGGCTTAAGATATGTTGCTCACGTTTGTTGTCTTCCCTATCAAACAGGAGCAAAAAGTGGTTACTATTTTCAGTGCACCAAATTATTGTTACCGTTGTGGGAACATGGCCTCGATTCTTGAGGTCGACGACTGCAGGAACCACACCTTCATTCAGGTTTTTCCCCAAAACCCCAAACTGTCTTATCTGTAATAAATTTAGTGTAGAAGAATGAACAAAGCTAACTTGAGTGTATAAAATGTGATTGCAGTTTGAACCAGCACCGAGGAGAGGAGAGCCAGATGTTACCCGAAGGACACCAGACTATTTTCTGTAATCGCTGGACACAGACTCGTCTCAGTCAACAGCTGCAGCCACCGACAAGTGAAGTCAAAGTTGATAACTCAAGATTCTGGTTTCTACGCATTGTTGTTCAGGTTGCTCTGGTTTAAATTCAACTTAATCCCACCACCGGAATATAATGTGTATTATAGGCGAAGAAGGCTCTCTTATCTTCCTCTATAACCAAGAAAAAGAAAAGGAAAAGAAAAAAGATACCCATTATGGACATTGTTTTGTTGATGTTATTAGCTTCTTCTTTTTCTTCTTCTCCCTTCTGCATCAGAATGTGTTTTCATGTGAGAGATCTTCTAATTTTATTTTATGTAATTCCTCCTTTGAACTTCTCTGATCTTTTGAAGTAGTTTCTGTTTATTTTGTTTTTGAGAGCTTGATATAATAAATAGAGTCACTGAATTCATCAGATCACTCGCTCAAAATGTTAACTATAAGTTAATGTAAGAGATATTTGAAGGAACAAGTTCGACTATGAACTTTCTCTCAACTTACTATTCATATATAACGCCATTGAAGGTTTTGTAATACGAATGGCTATTGAACTGACCATTGAGAGTATCATATCAGCAAAGAGCAATATGAGAGTCAGTGCAGTCTAGAAGGATAGAAATTGATAGACCTCAATGTCGAAGGAAGAAACGAAGAATAAGCTGAGCTGGATACAGAAGTGTGCATCGAGAATGTATAGAGTGGTATTACAGTCTAAACAAGTAGAATGTTAGGCGGTTCCAAAGTTGTGAAGGGAATGATTCTGGTTAGGAGGTTGAGTGAGTCGAAGGGAGGAGCGACTCTTCATGTAATTAGAAATAAAGAATCGGTGTTTGTTTCTATCAAATATCAATAGTCTCGCAGAACCAGAGAGAATGAGATTGATCTTGTCAAAAGCAATAAGGCATACAAGGACAAATCCACAAAAAGAATTAGGATAAAACACCTAGTGTGAGTGTGACAAGATATCTAAAACAGCAACCAAAGATTTTTTAAAAGTGACAATGAAAGCCATACACGCTCAACAACAATGAACAGTATAGTTCAGTATCTATCAAAAGAGATCCACAACATGCAATTGGAAGTCACACGTTTTGTTGGCCATTGAGATAAAACAAAACAAACCAAAAAACTAGAAAACAAGTTAGAAATCAAGGTGTCATGGACGGATCAACTTTATAGGAATTTCGTAAAAAAAGATGTGAGCCTCGTAATACCATACCACTAGTGGTTCTTTGGTGGTCGAGATTGCATGGATTGTGCGGTCCACTCCACGATCTATTCAAAATTATTGACATTGCAACTTTCTATATATATTTATATATATTTATATCTTACAATCTTAAGACTTGAAACTATATAATAATATTGTTTAGTTTAAGTGTATACTATATCTAAACACTTTGATCAGTACCATTTTTTTTTGTATATAATAAGTTTCTTGTAATTTCTATGTGATCACCAATTTTGTTTTCTTTCTCCCAAAGAAGTGTTTCCATTTTGCTTGTTTCCTAGAATACTGTTTCCGATAAACAATACCAATTTACGCGTAGAGTTTTGGTGAAACACGTGAACCTTTATTTTTTTT